ATGGCAGGTCATATTCCATTCTCACCTACACCAGTGTAATGTGAAATCAAGTGGCATGCAGTGAGGTATCAAAATTATTGTCTCACTAATTTTAGTTTGACTTCTATATTCTGTATTTTAGCAGGGAGAATGATATATAGTCAGGAAGATAAAATCAATTTAGGTTATCTCCTCTTATGCTAAGGTTGCCTACTGCCTCTGTTATAGGAATTTTATGATTTGGGGTCTGAAGTGTTTAAAATCATGGGAACTTAATCCTTTTTCTGGGTTCTTTAGGCAGCTATGCTAATTATTGGGTTTTATCAGATGCCCTTTACTTTAGTTAATAATATAATTTTGTAAAATTGTTGGCCAAAGGACCACAGAATGACAGTGAAAATGCAAAGAGAATGCAATAGTTTGATAAAATTCAATAAACATAGGTCAGTGTAAAATTGTAAAATGATGCAGTTCTATGCAGAATTATTAAAATCTATATATTACTGAAATCATCACTTGAAGACCTTTCCAAAAGTGCCAGGAACAATATTATATGTGTATTTTTAACCTTTATACAGACAGCAGGAGCACTGTCAACTGAATTTGCATCTCATAGCAGGAACTAACACCACTGCCTACTGCATAATGAAGTATCAGAATAACAATAAGTTACCTTGTCAGATGAAATTTTTGCATTTTAGATCTATATAAAGCAAATTATTTTATCATTAACAATTCAGTAGCTACTTCACAGATTTGTTACACAAGATCATTTTTAATTGTGGGTTTTGAACACATATGTTGATAATCCTATGCCTATTTTCAATTACATGAAACATTCCCTATGACAAGGAAAACACACTTTGTGTTAGCCAGTATATTCACATTTTTAATAAAAGAAACCATCCTAAACTTGCACGAATAGACACTTATATTCTTCTGAATTGTTTAATAATTTTCAGATCATGAGACTCTACATTTGTTGAAACAGACACGTATTTCCTCTACAAAGATATTCCATAAAAATCAGTGTGAGAGAAATTCTGATTGGACTAAGCTTGTATGGAAAGTCAGGTTTGCAGGAAGATGCAGTAGATGCTGTTAATATACTAAGATAAGCTTTAAGATAATGAAAAGATTATGTGCTAAAATAATTACCCATTTTTTAAGTTATAGCAGTTTAATAAGCAGTATTGTTCCAACTAGGCGCCATGCAACAGACAGATCATTTATAAGAATAGAACAAGATTATTAATTAACCTAAAACATGTTTAGCATTTACAGAACTCTTTTCCTCCCCAAAAATTTGGTGAAGCTTTAAAAATGGAAGGCAAAAAATTTACCTGTATTCAATTCTCCCACTTCACACTGAACCAGAAAAGATTCCTCCTGAAGCAAATTTAGTCCAGAATCCAGAGTATCATGCATCATAGCTACTATTCATTATGTCATATAGATGATACCCATATATCCCAAGAAAATATTGCTCAATGAACTCACAATATTTATGAACAAAGAGAAGGCTGGCAGTAAGTGTACAGATTTAATCCAAAAATCATTTAATTTTGACCGATTTTCAATTGACTTTAATGGAATTTGGATTTATTTTCCCTGGGAAGGCATACATGCAGAAGGTCACAAGCACAAAACTTTTCAGTGAACACATTTCCATGTAAGCTATCTGGAACTCTAACTCCATTTGGAAGACTAAGTTTCTGGGTTTAGTATCACTTAGGCTTATGCACATCATTCGGTATGGTAACAGTGAAACCCCTGCACAGTGCATAACATGTTAGTATTAATCTGCTAATGTGTGAAATAGTATATTCATATCCAACTGCTCTTAGATTCTCTGCTTTTGTTGCTCCTTTTCAAATTCTGGAAAGTATGGTAAAAGAGATGAATGCTTCAGGTTCAAATAGCTTTAAAATAAATCTATATTTATGCTAAAACATCTATGCTTTACAGTCAAGCAATGTTTGGAATGCTACATACCCCTTATTTTGTATTGCCTCTCAGGAGAGAATCATCCTGGGAGTTATTATCCCTGAGACAGAATTGTCTGCGTGTTCTGTACAAATGTACAGAGCAATATAATGCTTCATAGAGATATTTTAGCACAACTGGCAAAATGTGTAAGCTGTAAAAGTATGTTGGAAATTATTTATAACTGCTTTAAAAAATCTCAAACTTTTACATGGGTTATAGTTCAAACATTGGTGAGGATGTATGATAATCAGGAATGATCATGATGATTTGGATGATAGCACTGTCTGAAAAGATCATGTATTACATTGAACTTCAAGTATTTTAGACTTCATTTAATTTCAGCAAGTAATGATTATTAGTCATTCATTCAAAGCTATGCAGATTGATGACAATGGGAAACATTTTGCATCCCATTATCATTATTTCTGTAATACGAATCTATGTTTTTGACATTATTTGTGGGTTTTTGTCACCGGTTGTGTTCTAAATAAAAAAGCTTCCATATCCACTGTGGGATAGAAGTACCTGAGTACATAAGAACATGAATAAACTGTAGGAGTATGCTGGTAGACATTTCATTGGTTATTGATAGTGGTACTGAAGCTGAATAGAGGGTTCTGTAATCAAAAAGGAATAGTATTAAATATCTAAACCACAGATCATACACTCTGGTATTGAAGGTAAGGTGGCATAAAATAAAAGAACAAAGTTGATACTGTATGCATTGTCTATTTATTAATTTGTTTATGACTGACGGGTATAGAACAAAGAGTGTTCAAGTAAAAATGCTTATGTCCCTACATGCAGTGACTCTGAAATCTGCACCTTAAGGACAAAGAAAGGTCACCAATCTCTCTAACTCCTAGTTCTTTGTCAAAAATGGACACAGTTAATGAGGTTTGTTTGGTACAGCACAAATTCTCAGACACAGATAGAGATCCTTTCAATGGAAACAAATTTGTTTGGCTTTACCAGGTTACTTAGCGATTAATAATAGCCTTGCAATGCAGGTCAGAAAGGTCATCGTCCCTGCTTGCCAACACAATCTAAAATGTGCAGCTAGTCTAGCTCTGCAGGCTTTGAGGCCCCAGAACGCTATGCATAAAGTAAAACAGGCTATTTTCCAACTTCTTTTTTCATATTAATAAGCAATTTTCAAGAGAAGGGTGGCAAAATGGGGGCCATGCCACTCTAAGTAATTCATTTATTTTGCAATTTAATCTTATGTTGGAAAAAAATTACACTGCTGCAAAAGCATAGCATGGTGATTTTTAAACGTCAGGGTGCTTCATAAGTAACCTTGTATGAAATATTGTATTAGCAGCCTTTAACAGTAAACTGTAACAAAAAATATTTTCAGAGATTGAAACATACTAATACATCTTTTCCAATCTTTCTTTTTCATTCTTTCTTTTACATTTAAAATAAAACATGTTTAATTATTTCAGATTTTATTTATTTTAATTGATAAAAACTTGAAAGAGAGCATGAGACAAATAGAAATTCTACATTGCAAGTTGTATTTAAGAATGTGATTTCACAGTGTTCATATTTATAAAGCAATTATTGCTCTTTCACACATTTTGCTGAACTAATTTAATGATAATTAAAATATTGAGAATAAGTCTGAGTCACAGTCTTAAAAAGGAGCAATTTTTTTCTGGAGCAATATGACTTTCCCATGGGATTATTCATATCAGCAAACTTATCCATGTGCATATTTTGACACGATTTGACCCTTGTCCTTACAGTATCTTATTTGGTACTCACTGAAGCAACTGAGACTATTAATATGGACCTCTCTAAATAATCTGGTTTTGCAGAAATATCGGAATTACCCAGTTATGTGAATAATATTTTTTCTTTTCATTTTATCATATACACACATGCTTAAAAAATAAAGGCTAAAATTTACTCACTTAATTAACTTTTAAGCAATCTAAATGCTTGACTGAATATGTTTGGTGTCTTTGGCAGACGGGTTAATTTGAACTAGCCATTTTGTAATAACAAAAATAACAAATGTTAATCAAACTAACCTTTTTTGACTGGGTCAAAAAAATTCCATACACATGCACAATAGCACCAAATTTCATTTCTTATAGAACATTAATTCACTTGTCTGTTTACATAATTTATGGCAAACCTGGCTCTATGAAAAAAAAAAGTCATTGAGGAGGAAATCTGTGCCTGTTTTCTGTTAAAGTTTTCCTCTAAACATTCAGTTAAAATCATGAGTTTTCTCCATTCTTTGAAACCTGGTATTAGGTAGAGTTCCTTATTTCTTTTATGGTAAAAGAATTTCCGACACTGATCCACTCATTTTGATGACAGCAGGTGTTTGCAAACCTCTGTTATGCAGTGGTTCATGAGGCATTTATACTCCTGTTTCTTGTGGTGGCCTGTACTGTTTCTATCAAACCAGAGCAGAGGTGACCTGTGCAAGAAGCCTAATGCTATGGAAACTCCTCTTAAGGACACGTAGAAGGTTTACATCCAGTTGTTCTCTATTCCTACATTCTCAACTTTACAAAAGGCTCAAGGATTCAGGAGTGAATGTCATCTCTCATCCCATGTCTATTATTCTCTCTCATTCCATAAGATCTTCCCTGTTTGCAGATCAGGAAATGTCGCAAGACACTAGCTGAGATATAAGGGAACAACATTTAGTTTGTAACCATTTGAAGGAAAGTCACTACATTATAATAGCTTTTGTTTAGAGAAATTCTAAGTAAAATGATAGTTAAATGAAAGGATATATATGAATACTGTTTTATCAAGCTGTCAGGAATATGAACAAATATACCATTCATACATTTGAAAATTTAATCCTGTTTTTTCATAGTTATATTCACGTAGAATCCTGCTGGTGTGCAACTGAATGAACTGTTATTTTGCATTCTGGTGGTGTCAATATACTGCTAATACATAAAAGCAGAACCCTGTGGAGCTATGAAAGGGTTAAAGTAAAATAGAACATTAGCACATCTTTTATTGTTTTAATATAATTGACAGACATTTTTTTATTATAGGAGTGAACTTCAAAGGTACACAGAAATGAAGGAGTATGAAGAGAAAATGAAAGACCTAGAAAAGAAAGAAAAGGAAATGAAATACCAAGCCCGAAAGATGCATTACCTCCTTAGCACTGAGCAGGTTGGTATACCTGTCCCTGACAGCTCATGCAAACCACTTGGGTCCCCAGCCTGACAGAGATAAACTAGCAGGCTGAATGGGACATGACTTGTTGAAAAGATATCACAAAGACACTACTTCGAGTTCAATTTAGTGCTTTTCTATAGGCAAGAGCAGGTACCATGACTATTCCGTGACAGTAGCTTCATAGAGACAGCATCAGCACTGCTGGCAGAAAGAGTCCAAGTCAGCAGTTTGATCTGCCACTGTGATAACACAACATGAAGGGCATAACCTCGCTTTAAAAACTCATTTTGACTGGCTTATTGTTGTGTTGTTGCACTTGTCGAGAACTAACAAGTTATTAAGCTGAGAAGGGATTTCATTTTTTTTCCCCTTTTTTAATTGAGCTAATGCTTGGATTGGTGCTGTGTTCTGCTTGTTTTTAGGATAGATTGTAAATGCATTTAGCATGATTATTTTCACTGAGAAATGCCTCATAAATTTTAAATATTTGCTGATTAATTTGTTTTGTATAGATTTAACTGGTATATTTTTCCAAGCTTTCTTATGTAAGCTGCTTTACAGACAGGTGAATATGGCAGCAGATATACAAAATAGATGAGTACTAAAGCTTGTGGGTTTCCCTTGTTTTTTAGTCCCCCTCTGTGAACTTATGTAAAAGATTTTGTCTCCATAAAAGTTAGGTGACTAGCTGTTCTTCAAATGAATGTAGACTTAATGTGAAATGTTAGTGTGAACTAAATGCTTGCTTTTCATAGGTTGTTGCTTATAATCTGTGTGTAAGAACTGTTAATCTTGAAGAATGCAGGAAAAAGAGCATGATGCTTAGTGACAAAATATTTAATCTTCCCCTCTGTTTGGGAATCATTTGATGTGTGTATCATAGAATACAGTTTAATTAACTAGATATCAGTTTTGAAAACTCATTGTGCGAATCAAGTTTAAGTAATTTTATTTGAAAACAAAGCATATTAATAAAAAATAGCATAAAAGTTTTCTGAGTGGCTTTTAGACAAGGGAGATAGTTAATAACTGAAATTAGCTCACTATAATTGATTTTTCCAGATGTAGATCTTGGATATTAATTATAATCTGCACAGTATTTTTATATTGATTTAAACTGTAAAAAATATGGAATTCTTGTTTTGAACCGAACAACTTACATAAGCAAAATGCATAAACATTATGTTTACCTGGTGTACAAAAATTGTCAGGTTAGAGACACTGAGTGATCTGTGGTCTAAGAAGATTTTAGTAAACTAGTTCACCTCTGATGATACGGCCTTAGCCAGCTGTAACACAGTTTTAAGGAATGGCAAATAGTGCCTTATTTCAGTCATCCTCCTGGAGGACTGATGGTAGAGGGCAACAGTAACTACCATGTTCTGACAAATTTAGGTTTCTAATTTTACAGAATTAGAGTTTAGCTAGCAGTATTTTGCAGAACAAAAGGATGTTTGGTTTTGCTTGCTGAGATGGTTTCTGAATACTGGGACTCAGAGCCCACAGAATTTTCTCTTTACCACAGAACTGTGCTCCAAAAATCATCTCCTTTTGCAGGTAGTATTTCAAAACCTGTGTGAGTGTAAAATAATGCAAAACCTATAGACAACCTGAAAAACAGCAAAGATATACATGAAGTTAACTACTTTCTTCGATCAAAGTCTGTAGTCCACAATTTCACCTAGTTGTGGAATTTGATATCTTGCTGAGATACAGGGCAAATTAATTCAGTGCAGATTTTACTGGTTTGATGCTCTGTGTCTGACACTTTACTCTCTGTATGCCTGGTATTCTGGTCTGACTACAGCTGTGTCTTGCTATCTTCAAAGGACAGTTAATTGGATTACTGAGCAACGACCATTCATGTCTCAGTAGAAACAGCCAGCAAAAGTTAACACTTCTGAGTGAATTAAGAAAAACATATAATTTGTGAGGGTGCATAGCAAGTGAAAGGAGGAGGTTGATGAGCTGGTCTTATAGGAGAGTCATGTATTAACTAAAACCCAGTAAGATACAGAGATGATCTGCTAAAGTTTGCTTCTCCTCCCCTTCTTGCCATGCATAATGAGGTGCAATGATGGAGCTGAGCCTCCTCATGTATCAAGGCTGCAGATATGGAGACAGGTTATATGGACAGTGTTGCAAAATCTCTATTTGCAATAATTGTTTCAAATATATCCTATAGTTCAAAATCTTTTTCTTTTATTACAGGCAAAAAAGGTTAGGAAAGAATATTTACTTACTGACAGAAAAGATTTAAGGATTTTTTTCTCCTCAATTTTTGTAAAGAAAGGCATGCTAAGTTTCATTCTCCACTCCCTACATGGTGAAGCCCACTAACTCATCTCAGAAGTGTGTTTATATATGTATATATACACAAGACATGCCCATTCTTAATTGCTAACATTTTTTGACATTTCAAATAGTAAAATTGGAGAATACTAGTGTCGTGAATGTACAGTGGTGTCTAGTATGTACACGATAGCATGGCCCATGATATAGTCAGTGTGTCTTTTTTGTGAATTTAATAAATTTTCATGAAATCTTTTTCATGAATTAGCTTGCTATTCAAGCATTTATTTCTTTCATAAACTGTTACCTGTGTAAAGAAAGCCAAAGATGAAGAAATGGATATCAAACTCTGAATTAGCATACATTATGTACCAGATATATACACATAGTCTTATATAGACAGATGTGCGCTTGCTTTGATTACTTTCCAAGCCAATCTGGAGTTATAACATGGGGTTGAACCTAAACTAATTAGCCCTGTTGAGAGCCACAGCAAATTAGCTCAAGAATTAATGCACTTACACATCTCCTGGTCAGCTCAAAATATAGGCAAAAAAAATATGTGCATGCTTTAGGCGCAGGAACAAGAAGTTTGATCTACCTACAACACCTACAATTAAGTAGTTTTGTCTGCAGTTACATGCTTTTCTGGGAGAGAGGTGTGTGTATTGGGTACCGTTGCTATGGAACTGACATTCAGGGAAATCAATGGATGATTAAAAATGTGTGTTATTATACTATGCTCTATATTTTGTCTCTATATAATTTGCAAACAGCTGACTGTGTATATTTTGCCTTAGAAACTTGCCCAAATATGGCTATTTCCCATTGCTGCTTATAGAAATACATTGCATTTACAAAATATTATACTCCACGTGACAACGAAGCAGTTCATGTGTATAAAACACTATTAGTATTTTAGCAAAGAAGTTTAAATTCATATTAAATTATATAATTATTGACTGTCTTTCTGTGAAAGTACAATGCTAGGTATCCCACCAATGTCAACCAAATAATGTCTGGACAAGTAGAGCATGAGCTGTAAAATTTCATGGTTATGAAATACTGAGATCTTAATCAGCTTGCTATTTATGCCAGTAGTATCAGTAACTAGTCAACTAGTATGAGCTTCTTGTGTTTAAAGGAAGCTTTTCCTACATGATTCCTATACTTATAAAAAACAAACACCTCCCTTCTTACCACATAGGTCTTGTGTTCTGTTCTGTTCCATTTTCTGGTTGCTTATTGCAAGAGATTGCAGTGTAAAATACAAGAAGAAATAGTTCTGTGAGGTGGCAACTGTGGGGCTTCCAAGCTAAATTCCATTTTAAAAATAAGATTATCTATATTTCAGATTAAAAAAATTTTATATACCATATTTTTTCCTTATCTGTTTTTTACCTAAACAGTTTGATAAATTCTGAATCCATGATGAACATGATAACAATTACAGTACATATTTAACAAATCTTTGTCTTTGTTTAGAACATTTATTATAATTTCTAATTGGTAACACTTTTTTTCATTGTTGTTATTTGTTTTATCAGGAACTGCATTGTGATTTCTTATTGAGACATGAAACTTATAGTAATTAAGTTTTTCTTATTAGTCCGGAAGCACAATTTGCTATTTCCACTACAGTGGTAATGATCCTTTTTTTCAAGTTGTCATTAATAAACGAACTACTTATTAAATATAGTTTTCCATTATAAACCTGTTTACCTATGCAGATTATCCTTCTATAACCCTGTAGTTCCCCTTTCTGTATTAACAACTTTTGCTATAGTTGAATAGGTTCTTAATTCTGCTCTTTGTCATGTTTTCAAGGCCAACATTTCTAGTAAGGGCCATCCTTGCAAAGTGCTGACAAATGAGCTTGAAAGTCAACAACAGACAGAAGGGTTGAATACATTGATAGCACTTTGTAGAAATGGGTATGAAGAGTCTACTTTTGTTGAAATATGTGGTTGCATGATTCCTGTCACTGGTATTTCTAACCTTTCAAGAAATTGTGCAGTTGGTCTTTGTCTTACAATGATGATTAGAACTAGGTATGTAAGACTCTAAATCCAAAGAGCCAGTATTGAGCTAGAATGCAAACCTGTATCATTTTATGTATCTGTTGACAGAGCAAGTAGCAATGCTGAGGTGATTCTGTGAGTGGGAGCAAGTGTATCAGCTCTGCTAGCACTACTGCTACTCAGGTGGAAGACCTACACTCCACAGTGTGTTGGGTAGCAGAAGACAGTGGTAACTGAAATACTGAGCAGAAGTGGTAGAAGGAGCAAAATGACATGTTTCATAAAGTATTGAGATGAGGAAAAGAGTCCTAGGAAACAGTCTTTGAAGTGCCACAGATGAAAAAGCCTCTTGCTATTACAGTTTCTCCTGTCACTGAGAAAAGGATTGGAGAATCAGCAGAGCAACAGATGTTTTTCCTTCGTAGTTGTTTCCCATTGTCATGGTTTAACCCCAGCCAGCAACCAAGCCCCATATAGTTGAGATAAAGAGAACATAATAGGGAAAGCAAAAGTCACACACACATGCGAAGCAAAACAAGAAATTTAATTCACTGCTTCCCACAGGCAGACAGGTGTTCAGCTATCTCCAGGAAAGCAGGGCCCCATCATGTGTAATGTTTCCTTGGGAAGACAAATGCATTCACTCCAGAAGTACCCCAGTTCCTCCCTTCCCCTCTACTT